AAAGAGTGTGATCTGGACCTTTCAGAATGCACTGGATGCCACTGACCAGATGCGACTGCCAGTAGTGAGGACTTGGCACCTCAGTGAATGGAATTACGGGATTTCACTGGCCTTAATAAAGGAGAAACAGTCTTCAAGCATGGTGAGGTCCAGGGAAGGATATGGAGGTGCCTCTGTGCTGTCCCACGAACCCAATGGAGCCTTACTGTCCCTCCTGCAGCAGCATCAGTAAGGATTGCAGATTTGCAGACTTCACTGAAGGTCAGCTGCCTTCCTATTAGTTGCCAGAGCTTTGACCTTTCGGAATGATGAAATAGTTTCCCAGATCTAAGAGGGGAAATGGGTACTAATTGAGCCCATGGCAGTAACCTTCAGGAAATTTCAAGCATCTGGAGGATCTCCTGGAGACTATCATGGAACTGAACCTCCAGACTGGTATCTCCATTGTCTATGAATTGGACAAGAACTTGAAGTCTATCAAGCCTATATAGTTCTTGGCGAATGAAGAGATTGTGTGAAGCTATGTAAGTCCATGACTGTCCAAGGGCAAGGGCAAGAAGTGAAGCCAAGCGGGCAGACTACTGTCGCAAGGAGCCCCTTCCTTGCCCTTCCCATCACTCTTCCCTTCTCTTCTGCACATGTCCACAGCTGAAGGCACTGGAAGTTGAAGCTGCAGATGGGAACCAGTGGCTCTTATTTTCATTCAAGCCATTTTATCACCTGCACATACTCCCACCATACACTCTACGAGAATGCGTCTTTAGGGTGTGGGTTCTCAGTCCAGGTGATAGAAGATTCCTCTTATCTAGGAGAGTTGAGAAGTAGTAACTAGGGTTTTTGCTAGTGCTTTGTTTACTTTGGATCTGCTTTGAGTAGGGCTAGGAAGGAGCTGGGCAAAGGCTCGACCAATGAGCAGAAGTCAAAGAGTCTATTAATGTTTCCAGGAGCCAGCTCTGTATTCTGTAGGCAAGTCACTGGTGGGGGGCTCTAGTCATTCCACCAGAAGAACATATAACCTGCATGGTGATTAAAAAACAACAAAACAAAATGACTTCCTCCCTGACCCTAGAAGAGCTGGCCTGGGAGGGCTGGGATCAATCCTGATTTAAGGTGTTTGATTTGCTTTTACAAAAATGTATATACATAAATACATACATAAAATTACATAAATAAATAAATCTTAAAAACAAAACAAAAAAGCCCTGCAAATAGAATGGTCTTTTCCTTTTTTTATTATTTTGAAGGTTCTTTTACTATAGTACATATGCTATCTCTAGAGAGACAGAGAAAAGGAGAGTGAGAAAGCAGCCCCCAGGGAGTATGACCATGCCACAATCTCTTCTCCATCTTCAACTTGGGATTTTGGACATACATGTACACACTCCCTATAGGAATTTTTAAGCTGCCATGTCCAAGTCTTGAACAGTTTTCAGCCATTGGGAATTCAGCACCTTAACCACCATGCTACCTACTGGCCCCATATCTCCTTATTTTTAAATACTTATATAAAAACTATTTAAATAAGAGGGGCCAGCAGGTGGTGTGGTGGTTTAAACTCCCACATGGCTGACTGCGGTTTGAGTCCCAGACCTAGTGGGTTGCTTTCTCACTTTCTCTCTCTCTCTTGCTCTGTCCTTCTCTGGTCAAATTAAAATAAGTAAATAAATAAATAACGTTAAATAAAATAATTCTTAAAAAATATTTAAATTAGAAATCATTCACTTAATATTTACAAAGCTTTTACAACATGACTTGTTTACTACGTAGGCTCATCTATAATCTTGTTGTAAGTACTGTTAATTTTTTGTAATATGTCTTAAATTGTTTTAGTGACTTGTCTTTTGACATAAGAATTAGCACTTGGTGAGGTTTCAAGATGGTGGTGGCTGAATGATTGACTGAGAGACTGAGGTGAAGGCCTCCCACGAAGTAAAAGAGATTGGGAATCAACCCATCACCACCTCTTGCAAACTTGGAAGACCAACTGAAGTATTTTTATTTATTTTTTTAATGAATGAGAGAACCATATATATTATCAATATGGGATGGAGATCAGCATCATCCAGCAAGAGCGGGAAATTTATGAATCCCACAGACCAATCTCAAAAGGAAGCCTGAAAGAGGGAATTTAAAAAGAATAAAACATAACAGATGATGGGGTACGAGCTACAGTTTTGAAGATGAAGAATCCCAAACAGATTATTCAGGACATGGAAAAATGGAATGAAATGTAGTTTAGCCCAGTTCAACCACAATTAAATGAGAAAGTACTGAAAGACAAGAGTAAGAAGCTGTGTAAAACGTTTGAACATATGCTACGACTCTATGAAAAAGAGAATCCAGATATGTATAAGGAATTGCGAAAGCTAGAAGTAGGATATGAACGGAAGAGGGCTCAACTTAGCCAGTATTGGATGCTGTCAAGACGCTCTCCATGCAGCCGTGGAGAGTATTCCTTTGCCAGAAACGCCATATACTCCTTCCAACATCTTGATCCAGGACACTCCACTTCCTGGGGCCTGGCCAACCTCCACCCTTAAGAAAACCTCAGTGTATGGACCTCCAGCTTGGATAGTTTCAACACATCCTCTTCTTGGACATGGTGTTCCATCTTTGCCTCCTGGCAGAAACCACCTCCTCTTCAGGTTTTGCAGATGTATGGCCATAAAGTGGGCTTTGCCCTAGATCTTCCTCCTCGTAGGCGAGACAGAGACATGTTATATAGTCCTGAACTTGCTCAGCAGGGTCACGACGATGACATTCCTGCACCAGTGAAGATGATGGCTATCCAGAGGACATTGATCAAGGTAAACATGATGACGGTGTACTGGAAGATCAGATGGAGAAACTGAGGGGGATGAATTTGTGCATCGGGATGATAGAGAGAGACCACAATGGAGGGAAAAAGTCAGGTCTGAGCGTCCAATTTGCAGATGTGCCTGGAAAATCAAGGAAGTAGAAGAACATGAAGGAGTTGACTCCTCTTCAAGCCATGATACTTTGCATGGCAGGTAAGGAAATCCCAGAGGAGGGACGAGAAGTAGAGGAATTTTCAGATGATGATTCAGATGATTCTGAAGCAGAAAAGCAGTCACAAAAACAGCATGAAAGGAATCTCATTCTGATGGCACACCCACTGCTTCTTCACAGCAGCAGGCACCTCCAAGTCTGTTCCTCCTTCTCAGCTATAGGCACCTCCCACGCCAGGACCCCTCCTCTTGGTCCTCTTTCTGCCCCACCTCTACAAACTCCTGGGCCACCCACAGGCCTTCCTCGTGGGCCTCCCATAGGAGACCACCTGGAATGCCAGAGCTCCAAGGACCTTTACCCTGACTTTGGCTTCCAGGAATCACCACCAGGCTGGCCTCCTGGCCCTCTCCCAGATCCATCTCCAGGCCCTGCTCCTTGAGGACCCCCACCAAGGTTACCTCCCCTTGCACCTCCAGGTGTCCCTTCACTTCATCCTGGCATGATGTCCCCACCTTTGGGACCTCCTCTTGGACCTGCCCCACCTGCGCTTTTCCCACCAGGTCCCTCGCTCAACACAGGGGTTTTAAGTGCACCATCCAACTTGACCCTTGAACTATGGTCAGCCATGTGGGAGTCCAGAGCCTTTAACTACCATGCCACCTGCCAGCCCTGTGGTATAGTAAATTTTATTTTTTAATTTAAAAATTAAAAAAAAACCGAAACAAATGTATTTTTATTGCTAGAGAGCAGTGAGAGAAAGCACTTTCCACTGGGGTAGGATCACGCAGTAATAATTTTTCCTCCATTTCTTCTTCTTGTCGGGATTTTGGGTACACACACACATACACACACACACACACACACACACACACACACACACACACACACACACACACACACACACACACCCTCACTGCTTTTTTCCAGCCACTGGGGCCAGGACTTGAGCTGTAGTCAACCATGTGGGGTCTGGCTATCAATGGACAACACGCAACCATTTGTATACTGCTTGTGCTATGGGCCAGTACATTTTTATTTTTGATAAAGAATGCTGAGCTGCCAACTATTAGAGTTTGGATAGTTTATGCTTTTTTTTTTTTTTTTTTTGAGAGTTTTTTTTTGCTATAGGGCACGTGCGCTCGCCAGACAGACAAAGAGAGAGACGAGACAGAAAGTGAGAAATCACCCCCCAGGGGGGATGGTCACGCTGCAATCCCTTCTCCTCCATTCTCTTCTCGGGATCTTGGGCACGCACGCACACACGCCCGGCGTGAGTTTTAAGCCACCGGGTCTGGGACGTGAACCGCGGTTGACTGCGTGGGAGTCCAGCAACATAGCCATTACGCTAACTGCTGGTTCCTGATAGTTTACGCTTTAACACTGATTATCAGAGTTCCTCTTTCCCCATTTGATACGCATGAAGCAATGTCATTTCTCTCTTCTTAATACCATGTTTAATGACTTTGATATCATACAGCTTTTAACTTTTTTATGTTTATTCATTAAAATTACTCTTTCTAGGCCAATCTGTGACATGGTGATTAAGGTGACTAGATCCACACGACTAACTTTGTGGTTGGAGTCCCAGACCCAAAAGCTTGAAAAACACTATGGCACATATGCATGAGTGCTCAAAATCCCAGAGGAGACTGAGGGAGAGGGAATTGCAGTGTGGCCAGCTCTCTGGGGGTTGATTTCTCTCTCCTTCCCCCTTTCTCTCTCCAGTAAGTGCACTTGCCCTACAACAAGAATAAAAAATAAAAAATAAAGTTACTATTTTCAACAGTATCCATGAACAAGTAATGCATCTAATGTTTATTGATCAATTATTCTGTGCCAGACATTGTACTTTTTAATCTCATTTTGTCTATTTACCAACTTGACATTAGGTTTAATACAAATTCTTATTTTTATATTTAACTCATGATGAAGTTGACATTATTTCAACTTCATTTCAATTAAAATAAGTGACTTATTTTAATATTCTGTGTTTTGGAGATTCAGGAGGAAGAGTGTCCACCAAGAGATGATTTCAATGATGCAGATCAACTTCGAGTGGGTAATGATGGCATTTTCATGCTGGCATTTTTCAGTAAGTGATCTTTCCAAACTATTTTTTTCATATATTGATTGTGTATTGGAGAAACATAGTGAAGAACAGCAAATATGAGTAACATGTGTGTATCTTTATTTAAAATGGAGATTGTTTTGGGCATTGAACTCACGAATACTGTGACCATATTTTATCATATCTTATAACACAAACTCTGGAATATATTAGACACTTATAATTACGCATTGTGGGCATTATGCTAGAGGCTGACAGTATAAAGGTCTGTAAGTGTGTAGGTATATTTAGGCTAAATATTTTACAAGAAAAGTGTTAGTCATGTTGATGCCCTGCTGTAGGAGCATATAGAATAGAACTGTAAATTCTGCTTTGGGGGCAGAGGACTGCTATTTGAGTGTCTGTAAGCCAGAAGAAGGGCTGAAAAGGGGATTTTCTGGGTAACTGAAACAATGTCACTTGAGACACAAAGATGTGAAAGTATACACTGGGGGAATAGTGAGTAGTTAGAAATTCAGAAACTCCTGGGTGCATGTGCGTGCATGCCCAAGATCCTGAGAGGAGAAAGGAGGAGAAGGGATTGCCGTGTGGCCATCCCTTCGTGGGGGTGATTTCTTGTTTTCTGTATGTCTCCCTCTGTCTTTCTGGCAAGCACATGTGCTCTATAGCAGAAACCTCTCTTACAAAAAAAAAAAACCCAAAAAACAAAAAAGAAAGAAATTCAGGAACTGGGGACCAGCAGTTAGTGTAATGGCTATGTCGAAGAACTCCCATGTAGTCAACCGTGGTTCGAGTCCCGGACCTGGTGGCTTAAATTCACACCGGGTGCGTGTGTTGTGAGAGGAGAGTGGAGGAGAAGGGATTGTGGCATGGCCATCTCCCCTAGGGGGTGATTTCTCGCTTTCTGTCTTTCTGTCTCTCTGTCTTTCTGGCGAGCGCATGCGCCCCATAGCAAAAACCTCTCTAAAACAAAAAAAGAAATTCAGAAACTGAAGTAACATTTTCTTAACATCTTGCAAAATTCTTGATCTAACATTTGATTTATAAAATAATTATAAGCTCTTTGAAGTAATACAGGGTTATAGATCAGTCTTGATTATTTCAAATTCTAATGTAGCACTTGGCACAAAGTAAGCTCACTTAATAATAAGATGCCCAGTAAACTTCAAATTGCTAAAACAAGGCATAGGAACCCAGTATTCATTTAAGTAGGACTGTGATGAGGTTAATTTCTGCCTTCAACCTGATGAAATGATAAAGCTTTCATACTTTCTTGACTAGAATACTGATTTAATTCATTTTAATTATAAGGTTAATTTCAATGTTCAAATGGAGAAATAGGTTACTAATTAAAAGCAGCACAGTCAACTTAAAAAAAAATTATTTCATTTAACTTTATTTTATTTAGACCGGGGGAGGGCGGGAGAGCACGTGCGCGTGCGCGAGCGAGTAAGTAGCCAGTCCGGGACTCAAGCTGCTGTCGACCATGTGGCAGTCCAGCACCTTTAACCACCACACTACCTGCTGACCCCCACAGTCAATTTTAGAAATAGAAAATGCATACTTCATGAATTGAGTTACTTTTGAATCTGGAAGTTCATTAATTTTTTTTCCTCCATTTTGAAATAGTTTCTTACTTCCCTTTTTTTAATCTGCTGAAGAATAGGGAGAGGGTAGGAGGGCAGGCAGCTACATTTTTTCTCTTAAGATTTATTAAATCATATTAAACTTGACAACCAGCTAACATACATGGAATAGTTAAATAAATCTTAGATTGGTTTGAATTATGACTTTTAGTTAGATATGTTAAGTATAACGAAAAGGAAATGAACTCTTTGGTTACAAATGACTTTAGTGCAATTAGTCCAGTAAAACTCAGTTTTTATATTAATTTTAGTTCAACTGATAATTCTGTATAGTAATGATAAACTTGCCACAAATTTTTTTTTTATAGAAAGGGTAGCTTAGGGCTGACCTTGTAGCCCAGTGATTATGGGAATTGGATCCTTCTTGGCCAACCACAGTTCAACTCCTAGCTCCAGCAACTTGAAAAACGCTCTGGGACCCTGTGTGTGCTTGCTCAAAATCCTGACAGGATGGAGAATGAGGGTTTGTCGTTCGAATATGCCCCATTAGGGGTGATTTTCCCCTCCCTGTCTTTCTCTGGCCAGCACTTACGCCCTCTGGAAGCTTAAAAAAAAAAAAAAAAGGGTAGTTTAAGCATTAATTCCTTTCATATTGGTGTCTTTTAAGAAATCATAATTAGAAAAAAATCCAAATTTATTTTAGTACCTATAATATAAATATTTGTTTCTTAGGTGTAAATCATGTTTCTTTTTACCCCATTTGATTATTTGGCTCTTAGTTTGTATTATTTGTTTTTCACTTAAAACACCAGTATTTTCTTTGTAGTCTTTGTTTTTTAGATTTGGAAACATTTCATTAATGTGAGTGTAAATGCATGCAACTAAGATACACTGGGTCACTCTGGTCAGTGATAGTATATTAAATGATATAAACATGCATTTAATAAAGTCAGTATAAATTGTCTTAAATTTTTACTCAATTACATTTCTACAACTTACATTTTTATGCTTCCTATTCTATAGATATTGCGCCAGTATTATGAGCAAAATTGTATTTATCTGTCGTTTCCTGCTAACAGTTTTTCCAGTGGACTATAGGCCTACAGCTTTTGAGAAGCATATATTTGTTTGTAATCACTGCCATCTAGTGGCTGATTATCAAATTGCAACTTCCTATATTCATGGTTTGTAAACTAGTAGATAGTAAAAAGATCTAGAGGTAGATTTTAAAAAATGTGGTTCATTAAAGCATCTCAGATTATGTAATTTGTGCAAACAAAATTACAGTGAACATTAATAAAGATATTTTAATTAAATCCTTTTCTTGGTTTAATGTGTGTCATCATATTTTCAGTGTCTGTGTTTCAATCTCTTACCTCAAATAATCTGAAAAAAAAAAAAGCTAGTGCTTAAATTTGATAATTTCATATTCTTCAGAAAATGTAAAGGAAGAAGTGTGTGTATTTCTAGAATGTTTTTTCTTTTCATAATCCTTTAAAATGTTAGTGCTAAATGCCTCCTATAGTGATAATGCCTGCTTATCTCTAATCTTATTTTTTTAAACCTTTCTAAGAGAATGGAATAGAATCTAGTTATTTATAAGTTAAACACTAGAAATAAAGCTTTAGTTTATTATCTAACCTACAGTCTGTGGAAATGATCTTGAACTCTATTGTTTTAACAATGTCATGAGTTCTGTTTGGCTGTTAGAAAAACTTTTTCCAAGGCTTAACACTGACATTTGTACCATGTGGGAATCGTCATGTCTGTAAGCCACGTAATAATATATCACCTGCATCATTCACATTTTAGATTTGAGGGAAACATAAAGAGAAAAATTAAGTCATTTGCAACTTTAAAAATAATTGGAAGAAGGTTTTGAAATGTGGATTCTCCTTTGTAAGAAATTGCCAAACTATCTTACAAAGTGGCTGCGTTGTTTTGCATCCCCACCAGTAGTGAATGAGAGTTCTTGTTGCTGCGTATCCTCACCAGCCTTTAGTATTAACAGTTTTTCCATTTTTTAAATTTAGACTTCCTAATAGGCATATGGAAATATCTCATGTAGTTTTAATTTGCAAGTCCGTAATGATTAGTGAAACTGAGTATATTTTAGTAAATTTTTTTAAGTCCACACTATATAAATGTCAAATTACAGTTCTTAAAGGGCTTATCGGGATACCACACATATTAGAAACAATACATTGATGACTTGTTCTGTCCATGTAAAACTGTGACCCTCTGTAGCTTTTAAATGGAATTAAGTATTGTAAGTGAATCCAGAAAAGGAACATGTAAGATTTTCCACTTTACTATACGTTATGAAGCCCATAAAATATTTGTGAAGTGTTAAATTTATTATTTTGTTTTACCTTTTTTTCCAAAGCCAATTTTGTTGGTTCATTGTCTAGGCTGGACTTCTTAGATAGGACTATTTGGGTACTACGTCATGACCTGGTTTTTAGCTGGTTTAAAAATGCACATTGAGGGACCAGGAATTGGCGTGATGGCTGTGTCACTGGAACTCCCATGTAGTCGACCGTGGTCTGAGTCCCAGACCTGATGGCTTAAACTCACACTGGGCGTGTGTGCATGTGTGCGTACCCAAAATCACAAGGGGAGAATGGAGGAGAAGGGATTATGGCATGGCCATCCCCCCTTGGGGAGTGATTTCTCTCTTTCTGTCTCTGTCTTTTTGGCAAGCACACGTGCCCTATAGCAAAAACCTCTCAAAAAAAAAAATGCAGATTGACCCACTGTTTTATTATTATTATTATTATTTTAATTTACCAGAGGGTGCACGTACATGGGGGAGGGAGGGAGGGAAGGAGAGAGAGACAGAGACAGAGACAACACCCCTCATGGGGCATAGTCATGCTACAATCCTTTCTCTTTCATTTCTCCTTTTGGATATTGGGCATGCATGCCTACACAAACAGTTTTTCAAGTCACTGACATCATGACTTGCCATGAAGTTGGCCATGTGGGATCCAGGCACCTAAACCACCACTCTACCAGCTGGCCTTGGTGATAATTTTTAAGGGATTGTATCCTATTGACCAGACTGACAAGAATCCATTTGTTGATGTGTAATAAGTAGCTAATGTAATTGCACAAGGGAAGCTGCAGTGTATAAAGGAAGCTTAATTTGTATAGTTAAAAGAAAGGGAACTGCTTTTCCCATTTCTCAATGAGGTATTATTATTGTCTGTGATAATTTATTTCCATATCATGGTTTTTAAAATTACTTGTTTCTATTGTTTTTAGTGGCATTTATTTTCAACTGGCTTGGATTTTGTTTATCCTTCTGTATCACCAATACCATAGCTGGAAGGTATGGCGCTATCTGTGGATTTGGCCTTTCATTGATCAAATGGATCCTCATTGTCAGGGTGAGTGTTTTAATAGCTCATTGTCTCTTTAATCTCTAAGAAATGGTAAGTTATGCTATTTCCAGTGTGGTTCTTGAATGAACATTCGTAAGTGTTCATTGAATGCAGTTGTTTGAAATTTTTTTTCTTAAATTTTATTAATTAAGGGGGAGAGAAAAAGAGAAAAAGCAGCACCTTCAGCAAGGCCTTATACCATGATCCCCACCCCTAGCCTTTCGGTCAGCTGGAATCATAGATATATATGTTCACACATGGCGTTTATTGGGGTTAACCCAGGAACTGAACTCTGATCTTCCATATGGATCCCACAGTGCAGAACATTCTGCTGTTGCTGCACCACTGTAGCTGGATCTCAGGCTTATTCTTAGCTTTCATACTTATTGATTGTAGTGATCTTTGTGGTATGAACATTTTAAAACCTTATTATGTAAGGGGTTGTTTATGTAGTAGAAAAAACTTTAAAGTAAAAAAAAGTGAGTTTTAGTATTTTTAAAAATTATCTGTGTTCTAACTTTTAAGTTACTTAATTGTTCTGCACACTAGGTTCTTCATAATAGGCTGATAATATTTGCCTTACAGGATTTTTTTTTTTTTTTTTTGGGGAGGTTTTTGCTATAGGGCGCGGTGGCTCCCCAGACAACCAG